TATAGGACTCTTGATTTAGTCCCCAAAGGTGCTATTCTTTTAAATTGGAAAGTTGCTCAAAAGGCATCTCTCTCCAATCCTGTTCTATTATTTATGTTTAATCTATTTTATTCTCTTTCTACCTCGAGCCCATTCTTCTCATGAGAAAGTTAAATTAAAGGCTTGAGTAATAATATCTGGTTGCTTATATTTTTCCATCAGTTTGATTATCTAAAAAGTTTGGAGATTGAGGAGAAAATCAACAAGATACGGTGGTGCCAGGCAGCTAATGGTGCCCTCTTTCTTCTGTCTACTAATGACAAAACCATTAAGTTTTGGAAGGTGCGATTGGAACTTCAACCATGAATCTTCATTTTTTTTAATAAAGGTACAAAGAGATATTATCCAATCATATTGGCTTATGGAAATTCATAATATAATGTGGGTCATCATTTCTGAAGATTGTATTCTATATTTTTTATGGTGAATTATTTGGGACTTTATCCTATCTGTTACCTTCATATTCCCTGTCTTTCTCAAAAGTTATCATCTCCCAAACCTAACAAATTAACGAAAAAAAAAGAACCATCTGAACAATAATTATCATAATGAATTAAAACAACAAACAAATATGCACAAACAAACAACAAACTTCTATTGGCGAACCAAACAGATCTTTTGTTTTACTTCTGACTGTATTATGAATTATGAACTCGGTTTACTTAATAACTATGACAAAATATACAGAGCTTAAATTGCGAACAAAATCGAAAAATAACGGAAGTTCATTGGCGAAGAAAAAAAAAAAGAAGCGATGGCAGCCGCTTTACCTCAAATCACCGACTCTTTTTTAAATCAAAAGTTACCAACAAAAAAATAGATGGTAAAATCGTCGCCGGTTTATAAAAATCGCACATGATTTTGGGGATAAGTGATGAACAGCGAAACAGAGAATACGAGGAGAACGACGCACTTTGACAAAGCAGAACACGTTAGGGCATTTTCTCCTTTAAGACAAGTACAAATATGTATACATATTGGGCTAAAATGAGCCGCCAAAATAAATTGGGTCACTTTTTATCAGAACCTAATAAAACATAGGGTATAAAAATTGGTAATTTTATGGTACACCTACAATATAAAGTGAGGAATGAGAATGGTTTATAATATAAATTAATTTAAGAAATTAGTTTGAATGTTACAAACAAATGAGTTAAAAGAGTGGTAAAAAAATTGTTGAAAAAAAAAATTGTGAAAAACATTTTGAACAAACAAAAAAATATTTTGCATTTTGGTTGCTCCATAAAAAGTGGGTAAGTGTGTTTTAAAATTTTTACAAATACTAAATATATAGACTGAACTAGTTCCGGCTGTGCGTGCACAGCCGACTCCAATCTAGTATATATATATACAAAAACATTCAGAAAAGTAAAATATTATTTATTTTCCATAATACTAGAGTTAAATAAAGATCAATTATTATCGAACCTAGTAATTACATTCTCTTCAAATTTCTCTGCCGAAACCCTACTCCCCAATTCAATTTCTTCCCTTTCTCGCCGCTGATTCGATTTCTCTGCCTTCCTCGGCGAACAGCCGGCCTCTTGCCGGTGGATGGCCCTTAGCAGCGTTCCCTAGGCCCGATCTGCGTGTTTCCTTATGGGTTTTCGCCACTCGGAGATGAGTTCAGTTTTGTCGGCCGGGGCTCTTCTACTGGAGTTCGCCGTTCGAGTTGCTCTCGGCGTCGCAGGTGGATTCTCGGTCTCCCTTTGTCGATTCCGTCCATGTACGGCTATCTTTGACGGGCTTCTCGGTTCCACTTCCGATGTGGGTCCGTTTCTCGGCCCTGACGGTGGATTTTCGGCTTCTTCTGTCGCCTCTGTCTTGGGATGGTGGTCGACGGCGGGTTCGATGGCTTCTCCTCCGATTTTGGTCCGATTGCTGCAGGGAGGTGCGAGGTTGGGTTTGGGTGCGGCCCCGGCGGCTTGGCTCGTCTGAGCTGTGGCAGCCGGGGGCTGAGGTGTCGATTCCCTCGGTTCCCCTTGTCGCTGGTGTTGCGATTCTGGGATGCCGGCAAGCCCGAACCTAGGCCAGTGGTGTTGGCCGGGTCTCGGGTAGCTGGCTTGTGGAGGTTGGGTCGATACTCCTCTGGCTTTGGGTCGACTTTCATCTGTGGAGTGGTCTGTTGTTTGGGACTCGTTCCTTGCTAGGCATTTTGGCAGTGGCGGGAGTGGCGTTCTGGATTCTGGGTCAAGCCTTAGGATGTTAGTCTTTATTTCGCTGGTGCTTGGGTCGGGTTTAGCCTTCGCCGGGGAAGGGCCTTGCTCGTAGGTAGTTTAGGTTTTTTTATTCTTGTTTTCTGTTTGCTGCTGTTTGTGTGTTTGTGAAATTGTGTTTTAGGTTTGGGTCGTTGGCCCCGGTTTACCCGAGTGTGACATTTATTATCCCAATGGGATCACACACTCGGACATTACCCTGTTGGGGTCTTTTTAGTTTGTGTTTTGTTCTAGTTTTTGTGTCCTAGTTCGTTGTGTTCCCGAGTATTACCCTGTTGGGGTCGGCTTTAGGCGGTCTGTTGACTGTCCTCCCACTTTTATTCAGCTATTGGCTGCTTGTATTC